AGTTTAATTTTTTGTCTAAGCTACTAACCTGGTTCAAATAGTCCTCCAAGTCAGCCAGAAGGCGGATATAGAAGGGAGGAATACCCTCTTTATCCACTATATTCTTGCTTTTAAGGAAGGCTCGACAAAGCTGCTCAAACTCCTCCAGACATTTGGACATATCTCGAATCTTCATAGCGTTGCGGATAGTCTTTATGAGGTTCGTCAACTCTTCAAACCTAAGATTCAAGAATAAATTCAGTCAAAAGAAAGAAAAAAAATAGGCAAAATTTTGTACAGACTTTAAAGTTGTGACCTTTTAAAAATACCACACCAACCTTTTATCTTTGGCGCTGCGCACCACTCTTTTTGTGTCCTCCTCATCATCGCTAAGAAGCAGCGACCTGTGAAAACCAAGTGCACAAGTCAGATCTTTACAAGAAGAACAATGTGTGTGATGAGCTTGTGATGAGATTTATTCCAAGTTTCACTTACTGCTTGAAAGTGGCTCCGGGTGCTTTATCAGTGATCTCATCGTCAGATGAGGACTCCTCTGACTCACTGTCAGACCTGGCAAAGAATCGAGACATTGCTGAAGGATGCTGCCAATCTGTAGAGAAATACAAAGTAATGAGTGGTATTACAGAGATGCAGCTCCAGATTCTACGTGTGGTATATCAGCACACATTCGGCTGACAAAGATAATCACTGTCAAACAGATGTGTGCCAAACTTGTTTTTCAGGAGCCGCTACCAACAAACCAGCAAATACACACTGAATATTTCGTCCTTGACATTTGTGAGGTTACCTTAAACACAAAGTCTTCTTGCTCTTCAACAATAAAACATTAACTGTCTTGAGTTTACCTGGTGATATTCTCACGAGGCGACTGCGAAAACGGCAAACAAATAAACGTCACCACGCAGATGCTGTTTACAGGACAAGAATCAATGATCTGGGGAATCTTGTCTTTGTTGTTGTTCCCCTCGTACATTTAATTATTCCGATTTCAGCATTTTCGCACCATAAATAAAGCATGAAGTTTGCTTTGTGTGCACTCAAATGGAGTCGAGCCAACTAGCATCACTTGTGGCCAAATGCCATAGCCTACAGTCAGATCAACTTCTGACACATCTGCACCTGCCTCTATTACCATGTTTGAATTATAGTTTTATGCACAATATAATTGTAAATTTCACTGTTTTTTTGTTCTTGTGGGTCTTGCAAATAAACCTTTAAACTAAATAAAATGGTGCCAAAATTAAATTACCACTCCTATTGTTCATAATGATTTTAATATTTTTTTCCATAACAAAGAAATATGTCTCCAGCAAACATTACACATTAATCCTTGACTAGTGTTGCAACATCACATCCTGTTATCATAGTCTCATAGTGTTTTCTCTGAAAAACGTTTGAAATGATGGGATAACTGATTAGCACAGCTAGCCAGAACTGTTTGGTTAATTTAACAAACATTTGTGAGGAGATAGGACTTACAGTAAATGTACAGCAGTTAGACAATAATT